TGATCTCCTCACATATCTGTATATTTATCTCTGCATCTTACTGCTTCTGTTTCCCTAGAGAGCTGTAAGAAGTACATCTGCCTAGCAGGTGGAGGGTACAGAAACTGAGACTCACCTGGGTACACAGAAGGGCTGGATTCTAGAGAAGCTAGCACAGCCTCTGCCACGGGTAAAGGTTCAGGGCAGGATCCAGGCTTTTAGAAGGAAGTAACTCGGTGTGCAAGAAACCAAACAGGGGAAGAAGTTGTCTAATGCGCAGCCTTGCAAACTGTGCCAGTTCAAAGAGAGGAAGGGCTTTATTTGGGATTAGCTCGGAGATGTGGGAGAGCAGGCAGATAGCCAGCTGCTGTGAATATGCCATAAGGCCTGGAAGTGCAGCCCCTGCAATACTGAGCCAAAGCTATTGATAAGCTCTTTAGATTGGTTATAACTGTTTTGGATAGGATCAGGGTTGAGCCTGATGTGGGTGTCTGGCTGAACCCAGCAGTTGGGAAGGCATAGCAGCCATGATGGGGCTCCCTCCATTTCAGTACTCCTGGGGGGCTCACATGCCCACCCCCCAGTTGTGAGTGAAGCCTGGTGATGCTGTCAGACCTCTCATGAATGGGGCCCTAAAACCACACTTAGGAATACCTAAGAAGCCATTTTAACCTGTAGATGCATTCAAAGCTTTTCTCTCTAGTCTCTACCATTTGTGATTCCTCACTTGGTGCCTTGCTTAACAATACACAAAATGAGTTGCAGGAGCTTATAACTAAGATGCTAGGTGAATCTCATAGTCAGAAAGGACAAGGAAAATTGCTTTCAGCTGAAGTCGTACGGAAATTATAGGATTTGGGAAGGATTTGAGTTGAGCCTGAAAGGCAGATTCCACACCCCAGTACAGGAGAAGGATGAGAGCATCAGTTTTTACTTCCTGTGGCTGTTACAGCAAAATCCACAGACTTGGTGGGCAGAGCCAACAGAAATTTATTTCCTCATCATCCTGGAGTCTAGGAGTCAAAGTCAACTAGGCTGCATGAGTGTAGCCTCTCTCTCTGGAAAGTCAGGAGGAAAACCTGCCCTATCTCTTCCAGTTTCTGTTCACATTGAAATTCCTTGGTGTGACCTTGATCTTCAAGGCCCACATCTTAAAAGCACTCTGCTCTGTCCTTACAAGGCCTTCTCAGTGTGTTTGTATCAAATCTCACTCTCTCTCTCTCTCTCTCTCTCTCTCTCTCTCTCTCTCTTCTAAGGACTCTTGTGATTGCATTTTGGGACCCATCCAGATAATCCAATATAAACCCCTCCTCTTAAAATCTTTTTTTTTGCAGAACCAGGGATTGAACTCAGGCCCTTGCACTTGC